TTTAGTTTACAACATATAGAACGAATGTTCCCGCACATAGTGCGGGTGAGAATCTAGTGAATTGATTAAAAAAAATTATATGATAAAATTCGTGATAAATCGCAAAACAAAACTAGAATAACAAAATAAGAGATTCTTTTGCTTTAAAATCAAAAGGTCAGGTTCAAACAATTATTTGATTAAACAAATGTTCGTGGTAATTCGGAGTTTTTGGATGAATTGTATGGATCTTATTAGGCATGGCCAATTATTTTTGCTATCAAATCATCTCCCTAAAATAAGAGAATGTTAGTACTTTGACAGAAAGAAAAAGCTATTTGAATGAAAACATGATGAGGCCGAAGTTAAATCATGATTTTATTGGATCACTTATACATAGGATGCGCTGGTATTGCCATTGTGCTTATTACGTACCGTCATTAAAATCAAAGAAATCGATATAGAAATTGGCTAATTTATAACTCTAATTTTCAATAATTTTCTAAGCCCATTTGGCCATTAAAGACATTCCTCCAGCACCTAGAAAAACAGCAACATAAGCCATTGACTGAAGCTTCATGTTCCCTTGCAACTTTGGTCCCAAAAAATCAGCACCCAATAGATCAACAAGTGCCATGTAGTTCAATAAACCGGCCGAACACGCGTTTAATACCCCGACCACGATCAATGCCGTTGGACTCGTCGGGCTGTATACCGTTTGTAACAACATTCCTAGAACGATCCCTAATGGTGTTGTGATCGAGAAGAAAAACACCATTGTCCATCTCATTTTCCCTCCATATTGCGCCTAAGAAACCAAAAAAAAACAAAACGAGGACCAATCTATTATAAAAGAGTGGGTACAATAAGAACTAGACTACTCATTTGTAGTGTGACATATTAATTGTCGAAGTGATTGTTAGTCTAATCCAATAGGTACCTGAAGAATGCAACCGCCAAGTCCCATTCCTTCGAATAGTTGATGAAAACAAAGAGCGGCGATGAGAGAACGTATGGTACATTTGTTATCCGAAGCTCCCATTGCTAGGCCGATAACAACCGAGTGCACTACAATCCCTAGCTCCAATACCTAACACCAATTAATTATTATCAAAATTAGGGTTCATGAAATATCGAAAATTAAATGTAAATTTCAAATACAAGAAACTGTAAATTGATTTTCCTTACCTGAGCAATGACTTGATACCTAATAAGCTGAGATTTCGCTTCGTCAGAGACTATACTCCCGTTTTCTTTCTCCATTTCCTTTGATCCATTCTCTAGGGTTTCGCCGACAACATTTTCTTGCGGTTTCAACAATCTCTTCTTCTGCCAACTCATGGCATAAGAATCAACCATCAACGTGAACAAAGCCGAGATCATAGCAATAAACGCCGTGAACGGAAACTTCCTCCACGGATTTGTTGGCAAGCAAGGGGAATTAAGATCGAAAAAAGAGTCAGGTAACACGTGCATATAACCAGTCGCTAAGATAACTCCCGAGGCCAATGCCTTAACGAGCACGAAAAGATCTCGGTCTGGTCCTAGCGCAGGAATGTTACGAGTAAACAAAGGTAAAGAAACACCAATCATACTCGCAGCTAAGATCGAGGCAATAGCTATGAATTTGAGTTTCTTCGATTCTTTATTGTTGTTGCAAGACGATGCTCCTGGTCCGGAACTACATTGTGTAGCGCTTGCGAGCTCTGTGTTTTCAGCGAGAGAGGTTAATGTGAAGGAGAGGAAGAGAATTGCAATAGTGATTAGTTTGTAAATCTGATGAGAAGAAGCCATTTTCTTCTTCTTCTTTTTTTGATAGAAAGTTTGTGAGGTGTAACAATATATTTATATATACACTTCAGCGAGTAGAATGCAGCAAAAGATCTTGGGAGTTTGACAAAATCTACTTATTTTTTTTGTATAAGAGTTGCATAGACTTAGGATTTTGGAAACTTGTGTAATGCGTGTGTTGTCTCTTCCGTACACACACTTTTGACAAACGAAGCTTGGTCAACTACCTTACGTGGCGCTGATATGATGATGACATGGATCTGGTTTGTATCGGTTCAAATTCTTTTAGCTTTTGTTTGGTTTAAATTTTCATTTATAAGAAAAAAATGGGGATATCCGAATAATTTCGGAATATTTCGTTTTCGTATTAATTTTTAACTATTATTTTAATTATTCTTATAACCAATATAGTC